TTCTTTAAAAGAGATGATTTTTATGAACAATTATATAAAACTAAAATGCACTACAAGGATCAGATTCGTAGTGAAGATAAAATTGGATTCAATTTTTGCTTTAAATTCTAAAGCTAGCTACTCTTTGTTTGAGCATTTTTCTTTACTGCGATCTTCTTAAAAGATATATATGCAACGTTTTTTTCCACATAAACCACACAATGGTACAAATCTTAAAATGTGTGCTATAAAAATGGTTTTTTTAAAATGAATTTTCTCTGGAATACGCAACATGGCATTTAAGAAGAAGTGGACAAATACTATATTACCATAAGATTGCTTTACGTAATATGTTAATTAAGTTGACACTTTCTTAAAGCGTTGAATCTGAACATTCATTCAGACCAAAAATATTGAACACATTCCAAATCAAAAGCCCCCAAATATTACAAACAGATCGGTTGTGAAGGCAAGCTGCCTATTACCCTATCTGGGTCATCTGTCATTTCTCCACTGTCCTTTTTTTATGGTCTCCTCCTTAAAAGAACATTACATTAATATAATGTAGACGCATATTGGTGGTTGTGTCTGTATTAATTTGGTAATAAATAAACAAAAATGACAATAAACTGATTTATTAAAAATAAATAAAATTTCATTCATTTCATTATTTTTATATATCTTAGTATAATTTTAAATGAAGATCTTTATCAATATTCTTAAGACATTGGCTAGTAAAATTTATAAATAAAATACCAAGCATACACACAATCCGATAATGTTGTTTGAACATTTTGAGGCTACCATAGAGGAACACCTTACTTTATTTACTTTCAATGTGATATGAAAAACAAAACTATAAATAAGTATCATAAAATATTATAATATGATGTCAATGTTTTAAAAAACTATCTAAATAATACAAGTCCACAAAATAATACACATTGTCATCTTTAGACTTATAATCTATTAATATTACTACTAATAATAAACTTAACAAAGACAAAATATTGTTGCTCATTAAAGTAATTCTAGGAGTTTTAGTAGCTGTAATTTATTTTCCGACAATTAATCTTAGTTTTAACAGCCTTGAATTTTTATACAGATAGATAAATAAGGATAAATTTTCCCTAATCAAATAGATAAATAGAAATACATAATATAAGAAAACGTTAATCACAATTTCTATAATTCACTAACATTATTGAGTGAGATATGCAATGTATTCTCTTATTGTTATTTTGTCAATACAAACACAAACTTTAACATTGAAGTGTCGTTTATAATTACACTATACTTTATGAAACAACTATGGTATCATGTTTAAGCCATGTTAAACTATACCTTATGAAAAGATCACCCACATTCGAGTCCTATATAACTTCCCCAACATCATTGCATGAGGTATGCAGTGTGTTCTCCTACTATTAACTTTTGGCGTATACTTGTTTTCTTTAGGGCATTAAAGTGATGCCAAATCATTATCTTTTTCAATAAAAATATATATTTTAAGATGCATAATAATATATATTTTTAAGAATTATATTTAATTATTATTGATATGATTTTAAAAATATTTAAAAATACAAAAGTCATTCAATGTTTTTTTAAGTAATGACAATGAAAATCATTTTTTTAAAATATAACATTAATCATATTATCAATGCATCCATATCACAATTTTTAATAAAAATATTATTTTAAAAATCTAGCAAAATACTTTGTTAAAAGGCATTATTTGTTATTAATTGTAATTCAGTAAAAAATATGAAATCATGTAACTCTCACTGTGTATTTAATAAGTTTTACTTATAATTTTGAATAAATTTTAATCTACAATAGATAGGATGTTATATTTGCCATAAACTTTCGCTCATTCACATAATAATAAATGATGTTATATTCATTATTGAAAATAAAATAATAATTTTAATACCTACTTTCTTTCTTATAACTATAATGCTATGTATCCATAATATTTAAATTATTTTTATATTTTTAAAAATTTCTTTTATAAGATGTTAATTTCATTTAAAACTTCTCATATTTACCATATGTTATTATAAAGTGTAAAATTTTATATTTAGCTTTCTTAAATCAGTTGGATATCTTATCCTCACTGTTTATTAACATCCAAAAATCTGCTTGACACGCAATATTTTCTTCAAATGATGTTTCCCCTCTCGTAGATTCTTTGTTAATTATATTGTAAATGCATATGATTTTTATTTTTAATAAAATTATCATTTATGATAATAATTAAAAATATTCTTAAAGATTGGTTGATTTGCAAGTTCGTGGTCCCGGCATAAAAAAATGAAACATGAAAACTATCTCTATAAAATTTACAGAAATTATCATTTGAATTTCTTTGAAGTGTTCGTAAAAAAAATAAAATACATATGTTATCTCTACAAGGTTGATTCTAAACTCCGTTTAACTTTGATAGGTAAGTGAATTTGGAAACTAATGTAAATAAGCAAAACGTAAATGAGTAAATGAATCGATGTGACAATGTATTTCAGGTAAACAGAGCATCACATGAAATTTCCCTCATTTTCCTCCAAACCAGACACTTCTCCTACTACCCAGAGACCTTCCCCTGTGTGCCACTTTCTCTTTCACTCTCCCAAAACATTCCTGGGTTTTTTCTGGCATTGTCTCCTTCCTCGAAAATTTGTAGCTTCTTAGGTACATCTCTCTTCAACCTCTCTGCTCCTCCTCCTCCTCCTTCTTCATCTCTTTCTTCCCAACCATCTTCTGAACGTCTTGCAACCCATGTATGAGGACAATGTTACAACCATCCCAAAAGAAAAACAAAATAGGATATCATCAAATTTGGTGATACAAAGGATAAAAGACACAAACTTTAGAACTATTTTGGTCCAGTTAAGGAAGGCCAGAAAAAGAATAGTTAATTACATTTGTGAAGAACAATGAGGAAGATCGAAACATGCATAGGGAGCTCAAAGCATTTATCTTTTTTCTTCCCCTGGCTTAAAGAACGAAAGTGAAAAGAGAAAGAAAAGAGAAGATCCACTTCCACTGAGCTTCAAACTTTTTTTTTAAGATCCATTGTTTTATCAGGTGACCTCAAAGTTACACCGATCACGTAGCCATTAAAGCTCCATTGACTTACATGAAATTATGGTCATATCCTTCCCTAATGCTACCTGTATAATTGGTTTCCTATCTTTCAATATTAACCATTCGATTAACAGAGCCCTAATAAACATCCCACATATCAAAAGCTTTTATAAAAGATCCCCTCCCTTTACTTGTCAAATTTAGAAGGAGGAATTTAAAGATATCACCATTTGACTTTCTTTGAAGTGTACGTACTTCCCAAATAAAAAGACAGATAAAAGGGGAGAAAACACAAATTATAAGAAAAAAATGTAAAGTATGTGTAAGTCTCAGTATTAAACAATAAAGTTATTAAATTTCATATGCTTGTTACGATATTTTAAGAAAGAGCATTAAATACTTTTTTAGATTATATTAAGATATTAAAAAATATTTATATCTTTTTTAGATATACTGTTACCGAAATTAATTGTTATAATTATTTTACGTACATAAGAGGATATAATATTTTTTTTTATTTTTTAAAATATTATAAAATTTACTTAAATTTAATATTAGATTTATTAGTTTAACTATATGTAAAACACTCTAAGGAGACACATAGGTTGAGTAGTAAAAAAGATTTCATTCTTTTAAAATAAGAAAATATTTGAAATAAAATGTAAAATTTCATTCATTGTTAATATAATTAATTTTAAATTAAAAAAGATAATATTTTGATTTTACACTTTTTTATTATTTTAGAGGACCAGAGTGAAATTCAAAATTTGTTTTAAGAATCAAACCCGCCCGTCAAACATTATGCTCACTTTCTTTAGTTAAAATTCCCACGTTTTTAGTTACTTCTAAATTTTTATTTACATCTACCCTCCCCCACCAAACATTCTCGTCGTCTTCTTTAATTGCAACATTCTTATAACCATGTAAATGTAATGTTCTCTCCTCGTTAACTACAATGATAGATGAGGGGTGCATATAGGTAAATAATTTAACTGAATATGTATTTAATTTTATATGATTTATTTTCATAAATTCTTTCAAACAGTCTAGAAGTCAACAAAAATAAGAAGTCAGATCCGTGAGCACTATCGAAGGTGCTCTGTGTGAGATTATTCGCGACAGACATGATAAACTTACGGAAATGGCTAACAGTGTCTAGCGATGCTTAAAAAACATCGAATAATTGAAGCATATACCACTTATGGTTTTAGTCAATTTAATAAGTATTACTTTATTAAACGAAAAAAAAAAAAAAAACTAGTGGGTATATGAAAAAAAAACATAGGAGATACTATTATACTATAGTTGTTGAGCCATCAACATTTCAGATACAGAGAAAGTGTTCTGTTAAAGCGAAATACGGTTTCCATTTCAATCAAACTGATCCTCAATGCTTGCTTCAGACACGTATGGCTATGGTGGTTTTAACTTGTGAACCAGGTTGAACCTTCAAGTACAAACCAAACCCCCCCCCCCCCCCTCCCTTTTCCCCTTAACCTCAAAGAAGAAAAATTAACACCCACTCTATCAAAATTCTCATAATCCCCAATAATATTTAATTTCAAGATCAATATATTGAGAAAGCGTGTTCCGAGCAATTCCATTCCAGACTCCAAAATTGAATTCAAAAAAAGATAAGAACTTCCGCATAAGAGGAAAAAGTAAGAAATGAAATTGAATGTCAATATTCCCGATTAAGATTTACAAAGAGAAGAGTAAAAAATAATAATAACAAAAAGGAACAAACACAAATCTAATACCACTTAAACTTAATTTACATTTACATGATGTTTAGCCTTGGTCAAAACACCTCACTCAACAAAAATTAACAAGGGAAGAAGAAAAAGCTTGCGATAGAACAAGAAAGCATGATTTAGATGTATATTTTCTGTCTTGGGCATGTCCAAAATATTGATCTAGCTAGGTACGGAGCTCATATATAAGAGTAAGTAGTAGTGTAATTAATATCAATAATACAATTCTAAACGTCTAGCACATAGAGTACAAAAGAACTTTCTCTTGATCTTGAAGCACATGGGCAAGAAGCAAAGCTTCCACTGGATCTCAACATCCATGGCTTCCACTTTGCCACCACAGTGAGGACATGATCCAGGAGCTTGTTGCCTACCCAGTTCCTTCTCTTCCTCATCACACACGTACATGAACCACATTTTTCTCCTGCGAGTTCTTGATCCTAAACTTCTCTTCTCTTTTCTTCTGCTTAGTTAATTGTAGATTGTGAAAGGGCCGAACTTTGGGTCAAGCGAAGGCCACTCTCCCCTATTTATATAAAGCTGTGGTTGTTGGGTAAACGGAATATTCCCTACGATGATTTCAATGCCTTTTTACTTGCATCTTTTTGTAGTTTTTATTTACAGTTCTGTTATAAATCTAGTACTTATACTTAATTAAAACTGCTTTTTGTTTAAGTATTTATGTAAAAACTATTATTTATGAATTAGTTTATGTCATTGATTAAAATTAAAATTTAATCTTTATATTTTTTACAATTTTTTGCTTCGATTTATATTCTTAATCTTTATTTTGGTTTATTTATAATACAAATTATATATTTTAGTCTCATATATCATTTTTGTTGTAACACTGATATATAGAACTTCAATAAAAGATATATAAGGATCACTTTATAAGAAAATTATACGAAAAAATATGTAAATTTCATTTTGTATAAGAGCTAAAAGTAGTTAAGTATAATAATTTTAATTATAATTTAATCTACATTTATTTTTAATGCTTTTTTTAATGGATTTTACTGTTTGTTGACGAAAGAATGATTGTATAAATTATTTGAATTTTTTATTTTAATTTTTTTTATTCTGTACACAATCTGGATAGTGTAAAGAATAAAAAATAATAATAAAATGAATATTTTTTGGTAAATAGAAAATTATTCTTTTATTTTATGATGAAATATAATTTAAGTGTTATTTATTGTGTCTTCATAAGTATATAATATAAAAATATTAAATATTAAGAATTTCTTAAATTATGAAAAGATTTGTGATCTGATCTTATTAATTTTTGGTTTTTGCAATAATTAGTTATCCATCTCATGATAAATGTGTAAAATAATTAAAAATTTGTAAAGAACATAACGGTATAATAATAAATATTTACTTAAACTTTTAAAGTAATGAATTAAATTATTTTTTAAAAATAATGATATAGTAAAAGGGATGAAGAAAAGAAAGTACACTCTTTAACAGTTCTTTAAATAATTTTTTCAGTGGAACAAAGGTTTTTTCTTAAATTAGTTTAATCTGGAGTAGGGTACGCATAACTTATCACAAGCTTTCCGCAAAGTTAACCAATAAACAGTAGTTAATGGAGCTGGACTCTAATCATAAAGCTCTTAATTATTATTTGTTTTTTAAGTTGAAAATTTTGTTCGTGTGTTAGAAGTTTGCATTTGATAGTTCGTAAAGAAAATTCTTCTAATTATTATTACTTACATGAAGAATAATCTCATAATAATGCTTTAAAGAATATGTACTCAAATCTATGGGTTATTTTAAGTAATCCATACTAATCTTTCTTAATAAAAACATTTCACTGAAAAAATTAGTCTCGTTGTTATAAATGATTAGATTGTTATACAATACCTTGTTTGAAAAATTTTATCATTTCAAATTCCTCACCTGATTTAAAATAGATTTATCTGAAATAATGGTATATAAAAATAAAATAAAAGTTATAAATACTATTTTTTTATATTAAAATACACATTAAAAATTGAACGATAATAATAATATGAATATAATTTGGTAGGACCGTAGGAGACGAGAGACTGCGCGGTCTCTGACTGCATCGGTACTGTCGCATGTGCGGCTGTCGTTGTCTTTAACATTATCTTTTCACTGTTCAAACATTCACCTTTAGATTTGTGGTTAAAACTAATTTAAATATTTATTTTAATTAGTATTTAATAATCTAAATTTAATTATTTTATAGTATACGATAAATGAACAACTTTAATCTCGCAATAAATTTATTTTATGCTTTTATAAATTAGAGAGAGACAGGAGAAAAAGAAAAAGGAAAAATGATACCACTGTGTACAATCAATCAAAGGATTATTTTGTTTTTTCCTTCCAAATCCTGATCCTAGCAATTCAATCGTATTTTAAAATTTAAAATTTGCAATAATAAAAAAATGAAATATAAAATGGGCTGGTAATCGGAGAAGGTGAGACTAAAGGTGACGAACGACTGCTTCTAGCATGTCAACGACAACAGCGTTAGCACTTAGACATCATCATCTCCAACGTATTCATATTTATCACGTTTTTATAGGTTAAAAAAAAAGCCATAGTTGTTTGAGTTTCCTTCAGTCATATTTGTAACGCCGAAAGTTGAAAAAACGATCAACTTGCCCTTTAACATTTCCAATCAAGATCCCACATACAACGAATGAAGGATAATTAATTAATTCTTGATTCATTTGCATGGAAGTTACCTAGCTAAAGACAATTATAAAACTAATTAAAAACTTGCTGTTGATTAATAGATTGTTTACTTAATTAATTTAGAAAAAATATTTACTCAAATTTAAGATTACGTATTAAATTACATGCATGATCGAGGATAGTAAAATTTTATTAAAAAAAAGTATTTATTATATTTTTATAACTTTAATATATATAAAAATGCTTAAACTTAAATGGATAATTTAATATGGCACAAATGGATCGATGAATTTAAAACTGCTTCAAGGGTTGGTAAGTTTTGTGGATAGGAAAGTGAAACATTAATGATGACAAGAGGGAAACTAAATAAAATAATGTATCTAAGATATACATTAACGCCACCCTTTTTTAGAAGAAGTCGTAATTGGCGATATATTGTAGTTATAGACAGGGCAGGCACAGTGTAGTTAGTATATGTTATGCTATGTAACAACCTAAAAGCAGATAAAAAATTGGCCACTTGCATACTTTAAGCAACTTGTTTCGTGGGATGGACTGTGAGAGCTCAAATTGTATTTTTAGCTGTGAAATCCATTGTATTATAAATCAGTTTGTAATCCAGTTCAATTCAATTTATTATTATATATTCAAGTTCAATTACATCGAATCATCAATGTACTAAAGTTCAGCCAGTAATTTATTACCCCTTTTTTATTTGGTTTAAGCTTTTAAAAATTAAAGATTTCAATGTTGATACTAGAAAATAAATTATATATTTTTTTATTTTTAAAATTTATTGTTTTATCTTATAAACATACTACAATAACTTGTTTCCATTGTTTATGTTATATCACACCAATATTATTTCTTTAACGACAATAATTAAGTGAATAAATTTGATAAAAGTTATTTTTTAATATTTTTTATGAATATTGAATGAGATAATATATTTATATTGATCGTACATATCTAAGTTATATTTTTTGTGAATATATAATTTTATAATTAATATTTATTTCTATTTTTAAAAAATGTTAATTTGTTGATAAATATAATGTTACTTTTATAAAATTTTCAAACTTGTTTTATTTAAGGACAACTTTTAATTTAATGGTTAAATTACAAAATTTATTTTTTAAAAAAGTTATTAGATAGAGTAACTTTTTTTTATCAAAATTAATCCTAGAGTAACTTTAGTTGTTTTTTAATATAGTAATTCAATATTATTATATTACATGTATTTTAATAGTTAAAAAGGTATTTTTAAATTATTATAAAATTTTAATTAAATTATTTTTATTTTAAATAGAAATGAGTTCAGATGCTTGTCTTTTAAAAGAAATTAAAAATATTTTTATCATATTTAATTTTTTGTATTTATTATTTATAATTCTTTTTATATTTTACTCTCACTTTAAATATTTTTTATCACTAATTTTATATTTTTATATAATTTTAAAATTGTTCGTTCAAGTACAACCTTAATTCTCATCTTTACAAAAGTGAATACCATCATCACTTATAAAAACTAGTGAAACTTAAAATTTTAAAAAACTGTTCTTCTATAGAGTCAATTATTACTTTAGCATCATTAGTTGCAGTTTGATGACTTTAATTCATTTTGATATATAGTCTACAAGAACCAAAATGTACTTATTTAAAAAAAAAAAAAAACTCATGAAGTCTATTTCTCAAACATCAAATACTTCCACCTCTAAGATGTTTGTGAGGAATATATCATGTCTTTTAGATATGTCTTTACTTCTTTGACATTTATCATACTTCTCAACAAAGTCCATAACATCTCTAAATAAAATAGGCTAAACAAACTCATATTGAAGCAATTTAGTAGCTATTTTCCTCTAAAATGACCATTATAAGTTGAATTATGACAATGTCATAAGATACTTAGTTCTTCTTCTTCATAAATACATCTTCTTAATAGTTTATCCATACTAATTTTGCATAATAAAGCTTTATCCCACACATAAATTTTGTTCTCATGAAAAATAGTTTTATAGTTGTCAACTCAATTTTTTTAGGATGAGATTTGCAGTTTTAAAATTTATCATATTCACAAACCATAGAGTGACAATAATAATGAATAATTATTCATCTAAAACTTCATTATTAACTACAAATTTTGGCATCTTCCATGCCTTCTAATGGCAATATAGAAATATGGATAGTTGCTCCATTGTTTTTTTCTTTCTTGTCCATAATCTCTAGGTCAAAATCTTGAAGAAAAATTTACTTTATCATTTTTGGCTTGAAATCGTATTTAGATAAAAAAATATATTTAAAGTTGAATGATGTGTATATATATTGATTTTGCTTATCTTTTCTTTTTTATAAGCACTAGTTGAGCATGTGTTAACAAAAATTCTTTGTCATTGAAATAATTTTTATCGTACCATCATTTTGTTATTCTTTTTTATACATTCATTGAAGTATTTTTTTGCACTTTTGGTGGTTGAGGTTTTATAACCTTGTCACTCCTTACAGTAATAACTTTGTAATGCTTGCTGGGGTTCACCATTGTGTTAATTTCTTTCTTAACTCAAATTCATATTCTCTCATTAAGATTAATTTCTCCAATTTAGTTACGCCTCAATTTATTGGTTTCCAATTATTTACTCAATAAAAACTCCTAAAATTTCAATTGAACATAAATTTTTCAATCATGAATTTAAATCTAAAATATTTTTTTAGATGGTCAATTCAAATGAATCGATCAAAATAGA